TGTCGTAGGTGTACCTAAAATTGACTGCAGTAGTTTTACATCGAACCTAAAGGTACAACTTAAGGCACTTGCAGTTCATGGACCAACAAAGACATGCATCTACAGACAGCACAGTCGTAGGGCGAAATAATGGCCAAGTTAGATGTTTGTAAACGTAGGCACCCATGTCACCACACATACGCCTCACACTAGTGCGGTACGGATAAAAAGCGTTTCAGTGGGTCATCGGCACAGTATTCACAAGGGGCAATCGAGTACGCATGACGCGAATGGCCACCCGTCAACGGCGTCCACAATACATCTCGGAACATGACACTTTGGCACCCACCTTCCGCACACCTTCCACGCCACTTCTTCGGCGTCACCCAGAATGAATGGAGGACCCTGGATGTTGACCTCGAACCTGGGCAACACAAATTCCTCGACCTTGAATGTCTTTTTCACCTTACGCCCGCCACTTGTCGCTACGTGTATGTTCCATTCACCCTGCAAACAATGAGACTGGAATAGACAGGCTTTCGGGCCACCAGCCAGACGGCACAGGAGATCCCCCGTGGTGATCTACCGACATATTGTTAAGCACTGAGCAGCCTTGCATGCTAATCCTGCAGTGACTGCATGGCCTGTCCGAGGGATAAGCGTTTTGAGCCAAGCTGGAAGCAACCAAACCAAAATACCAAACGTGGCACGCTTTTAGCATGTTTGACTGAAGCATTGAGTAAAGATATCGATAGCCTTCAAATCCCTGAAAGTCTAAACTAAATAGGCCATAAGGTCTTTGTTTTTCTGCGAATAGTATGAATGTTAGCAATGTTTTATGTTGCATGTACTTATGAAAACAAATGCCAGACCTTCAGTATACCAGGATTAGTGAAAGGTGTCAAAAATTCAGGGGGTTTTGCGAAAGCAGTAATTGTTTATCTGCTAAAGCACCTTTGTTGGTTAAAACCCTCGTCTTCGGATTCACTCATCCGTGGCTGGGGCGGCTTCGAGCCGCTTTGAGCGCTCTCTATGTGCCCCTGACTGGCGAGGCATGCAGCCGGCAGCAGGGGCTGCGCTTAAGGTCAGGTGACGTCAGAGGGTATACGGACTGTGCCGAGACTACTGCACGGTAACGCCACAAAATCATGTCACTGACCTGAAATTTGCCTGTTGGAGGGCAGAGTGGCTGCCACTCCCTAGCTCTCCAGTCAGTCTTACAGGTTACACATCGCTGAAGACAGAGAATCGCTTACATCTGTAATTTCACGATTGCTTAAAAGCCATCCCACTCGACGACATGTTTTGTTTGGCATAACGTCTGCCAAAGGGCATCAAACATTATTGTTCCGGTCGCGCAAGGGCGTCTGCGCTCTTAACCCTGCATTCGGGACGCCCAATTGTCCAGTCTTGGTTAAATGCCAACAGAAGCTGAACTTCAGTGACATATAAAGCCATAGAATCCGTCAGCCTCGTGAAGACTTCTGTACTTTTAAGCTCAAATTTGGTATAAATTTGCTATGGAACGGTCGAAAACAAACGTGCATATTAACGTAATCACCAAGAACACGCGGCCTTTGAAGACCGCTGCTTCCGCGCGGAAGTCTACGCCTCTGTACGCTGATCGGGCATATATACTATGCTGATCTTATCCATGTTTCAGAAACTTAAGTCATGTAAGCGACAAATGATATTACCTAATGCATGGTGTTTTACTCCACAATATGGGCATGCCTCGCATAGACCATTAACCAGGCTTTGTGCAGTCGTATCTACGCGAGCACAACAAAAGTGTGGTAAATTGCACGGCTTGTGTGGCATTTAAAAATTAATCACATTGTGAATTGCTCTGAAACTGTATGTACTTTGGGATGCAACGCATGTAACGCACGTAACGCACGTGTAATGTAACGCATGTAACACATGTCTCAGCTAAGAGTTTCATCTATCGAAGTATCTAGCCAATATTACATGTTTTAACTAGAGTGCAATTGTTATCTGGGATGTCTGATCTTCTATTTTAGCATTCTACTTACTTCAACACTATGGCCTAGGTGCGATGGATTTTATTGTATACAGCAATCGACGATATCGATAGCCGCATTAGCTCGCTGAGCTAACATCATCTATATCCACTTAGCCCATCACAACCAAAAACCAATGCTAGGTATAAACAGAATCAGGATCTGATATTTTCAAGTGGCCACGTTTATAGCATCACAATGCGAGAGAATCGCTCAGAACACTCTGACAATAATTTGTTGGGCATTGCTATGGATTCAACACGAAATAATTCTAACAGATATATGCGAGCGAAAAGAAAGATGTGGTCCGCTCCGTTATTTCTGGCTCAGCCCGTAACCGACAGGCGAGAGGGTAATCACGGCTGGCACTTTGCATATAAGGAGCGGCTTTGGCTCAGCCCCTCCCCCCCCCCCCCCTATTAGCCCCGCGCCTGAAAGTCAGGTCTCGAACTGCACCAGCCACACTGGTCCACGCACACTTCCACACACCCATACACCCACACACACCACACGCACACGCACACCACACCACACCACACCACACACACACACACACACACACACACCACACACACACACACACACCACACCACACCACCACACACACACACACACACACACACACACACACACGCGCGCGCGCGCGCACGCACCGGGCTCTTGATAATCGCATCAAAGCTGCATACTCACCACACTGTGTTCATCGACCAGCTGCGACTCCAGCTGGCTCCACCACTCACCACACTGTGTTCACCGGCCAGCTGCAACTCCAGCTGCACCACTCACCACATGTGTTCACGGCCAGCTGCAACTCCAACTGCACCAATCACCACACTGTGTTTATCGGCGAGCTGCACTCCAGCTGCACCAATCACCACTGTGTTCAACGGCCAGCTGCAACTCCAGCTGCGCCACTCACCTGGCTGGACTCCTCGGTCCGCTGTAACCCCGCTGCACCACTCACCAGACTGGGTTCCTCGGCCAGCTGCATCTCCAGCTGCACCAGCCCGCTCTGACCAGTCACATCTGTCCACTGCGCCACCCTCGTCCCGGCCGGCGATTCGATGTAAATCTGCGGCAACTGAATACAGTGGGAAGAGAGAGTCAGCTCGATCAACCGGCCGCGGCACCGACGGACACTTGGATAGCATAGTGGGACATGACACCAATAACGCACGTCTAGGGGATGCGTAATTTAGAATAGCGACCTAGCTATCGTCACTCATTAACGGGATTCAAAAACAAAAACTGTGTAGCGCTGCCCGTATAGGACCAAGTGCAAGACCATCGAGTAGATGGGTATAAGGCGCGATGCAACGCCGTTCCTAAACTGCGTTACTTCTCTCATGGTATCATATGGCACGTTGCCAAAAGTTTCCTCAGGTATAAATGTAAAATTCGCTTCAGTTAGAAACTAAAACATCTTGTAATATCCACGGCATCTGTTGCAAGCATTTCGGCACAATGGGCAGTGGCAGTACGGCCCTTTTTTCCATCCCCTTGCCTACATCCCTGGCCGTTGGTGTTTATGTTATTTTCAACACGCGCGAGACGCTGCCGCTTTCTCTAGACCGCCATCGCAGCGCATGGTTCTCTTCGAGGTGCACACGTGATAGCGTGCATGCGAAGATTAGTGGGATGCAAAGTCACGTGATTGGTCAAACAAAAAAAGCGGCTTGAACGGCTTGAGCCGTTTGAGCCAAGCTTGCAGACGGTTGTTGCAGAAGCAAGACACCGACCATTGTGTATTTTTTTCTATTGCCTTGGTACCGATGTAGGCCCAATTTCTGTCAAATACACTGCAACGAATTAAACTTGTTCCCATGTCACACTCATAATATATTATTTTCCAATGCCAAAATGAAGCATCGTTTTGGATCTATAATTTCTTAAAGAGAAGACTACACCTTTGTTGGAGGTTTTGAATTGAAATTGCCCTATTGAAGATTAGCCGTACAGTTGACAACCCTGCCCCTTTAAGACCTAACCTCTCTAGTTTCCGAGCTACGCGAGCTTACTGACCTGAGCGTTGACAGCCGTTTGCCATTTCTTGCCATCGATATGGATGCAGTAACGGATTTTTCCGTGACGACAATCGCACGTAATGATACTGGCAAATACCGAACCTGGCTAGCGAATGTCAAGAGCGTCACCACGTAGCCGCATCCGTTCTTTTTCTACGACGCGCCTAAAATGTGGCTCCCGCTGATCCAGCACGCACCACGAGCTTGAACGGTGCAAGCTGTTGCTTGTTTATAATTACTTTTCGAACAACGATTGACCAACAGATTATATCCAAATTGAACTGATGAAACTGAAATGTTTCGCAGAAATCGTCAGCTCAAATATCACACCAACTGACGACGACAATGCTATAAGACACGTGGTCTGTTGTAAGAGCAAGGCAAATAGTCCTTGCAATGAAAAACAGCCTGACAGCAATCAACTAAAGCGCACCGATGCAGTGTAGGAGTTGAAGATGACGCACGAAAACTGCCGGTTCCGCAACACGACCTACATTGGAATGATAACAACATCTCCGTCACGACGCATGACATAGCACCTGCAGGAGGAGGCGCCAGACCAGCACATGCGTAAGCCAACAACCCAAACTTCTTACTCTCTCTGGGCTAGCTAAAAACGCAGTTCTGAAATCATGTCCGAACGCCGTTATAAGCTCGAAGTCACCCTCATCAGAGAAAGAATGCCTGCCTTAAACAAATAGCTAAGATCATGCATCACTTTAGAGCTTGCTCCGGCATCCAATGACAGTCAGGTGATTTACATCTCGAACTTGCCATGGTGTGAAACTGGCTGGAAAATTGATCTGCGTGGTTTGTATATGTTTTATAATTTTGTCTGATATTCGAATGCATATTCTGTCTACTGATCGTTCACCTTTTATTATGTCAGGCAGAACGTGCCTCGTATTTGGCCATATTTGAGGGTTTCCTGCTGACTGTCTCAAATTACTTTAAAACTGGAGAACGAATGTCCTAAAAACACACTTAAATGACTATAGGAAAAATGATTTATGACGCACCGAAAACCGCGGAAATTTTATTTAGCTGCGCAAACGCGCATTATGCTGATAAAACGCAAATTTGTCCTTGCATACAACACACCTTTCATTAAATGAGTGTTCAAGATTTGTGTGGGGGTTTGAACTGAATATCTATCTTGAAAATTAATCAGTGCATTCGACAGCCCTGCTCGTGTTGCGACATAAGCTTCTCCATCTTCTGAGTTGCACACCCGCGAAGAGGTGCAGGCTTTTTCGGGGAAACTATTTCAAAGTCACCCAAGCATTCGTGACGTAATAACGTCATTCAAATCCTGCCATTCCAACATCCAAGCGCCGATCAAGGCAAGAAAGGTATAGTTGTCAATTCGGTTTCTAGCGTTCGTGAGCAGCTTCCAGGCATAAAGCCATCAATTGGATTTCAATCAAGTTTGTGCAGGCAGACGCCAATCAAACAATGATGTTGCCCGCATATTTACGAAATCGAGAAATTGTTTTATCTTCAACAGTCTTTTCCACTTAAGTATATGTACATTTGACTGAGTTTTTGTTCATCATATCTGACCCTTGCTTCAATATCTTCAGATGTGGAACATTCTCTTTAACGTAAGTATCCATGTGCGAGCGGACTGGGAAGGCACCCAGGTTCCCCTTAATGGGCGATGTGTGGCAAGGTTGAAAACACTGTTAGTCGCAGCAGTTATCGCTGCAAGCTGCTTAGACTGAACTAAAAAGAAAAGGCACCTTGATTTTCGAAAAACGCTGCCAAGTATTTCGTGCTTAACACCAAAACTGAATAGCGGAAAGCGACAACTATCTTCTTCAAAATTTTGCTTGTGTGGTATTGAAAAACTTCGTTGTTTGTCGCAGCTACTCGGTGGCACGGGCACCAGATCGTAAAACCTAGAAAAATGAAATGCAAGCACTGTGTGGCACTGTGTCAAGAGTGTTCACACTTGTGTAGGGTTTTGAAGTGAAATAGCACCTTGAAGGTCGCCCGATGCACTACGCAGTCTTCCCTTCTTCAGACCTAAAATCCCCTTGTTTCTGAGCGTCGCGCTCGCAAAGACGTGTAGACTGTTTTGTGCAGACTATTTCAAGGTTAATCAGGGAATTGTAATACGATGATAACGTCATACGTATCCTGCCATTCCACTGGCCAAGGTCAATAAAAATTTAACTGTCGAGTCGTCAATATCTGGCATCTGTAAGTACTATTGTCATGTATAATTGGCGTCAATTGGCTCTCATCCAAGGTTGTACAAACCGAAACCGAAAGAACCGAAATAGCCACCTTGAAGATCAAATTTTGCATAGCTGTAGGCAGTAGAACAACGGATCGCCTAGCATCAAAAATTTAGATGTACCTTGTAAGGTCGCTGACCTATGGCAGGCCAAAGCCTGGCCATGGTTTCAGCGAAGGCGATTTCTACGGAATTCTTCAATCTGATCCAACAACGGAGTGTTAGACGAAGCCATACATCTCTTAGATGCTTTCTTAGGCAACACGACAGTTGAATGAGCAAACGACATTGACCTAAAGTCAGGTATGAAGTTAACACCAAGGTCAACACCAACCTGTTTTGCTACTCTAGGGCTTGCTGTATAGAATAGTTTCTGGTGCTCATTTCGAATTTGCTGATGGCAGGAACCGCATTATACATCTTCCATGGCCTTCTTAGAGTTCAGAATATCATTGACCTAAAATGACCGAGGTCAACATTTTGTTTTAGGGACATGCTGCCTAGCGTAATATTTGTCGCTTAGTGAAATGCACTCTGGTTCTGGGGCACTTTGGAGACCAACCTGGAGCCTGACCTTGTTTTACCTTTTTTGACCCGAAGATCATAACCTAGGAACTTGCAACTTGGACATAGTGAGTTCACGTACAGGTTAACATGTCCTGTAAATTTGGTACCTCTATTTTCTTAGTTCCAGAGATCTCAGGGCTCAAATTGACCCCCCACCCCCACCCCACCCACCCGTGCAAAGCGTATCTAGCCCCGGGCGGTGTTAAGTCGCAAAAATTCAAAGTTTGTAAGATTGTGCCCCATTATGTCACTGTTTGCTGGCGTCATGGAATCGTTTTGTGACGACAGCAATACCTGGCAGCATCTGGCATCCAGACCTTAAGAATACCTCGAAGCACACGAAAGCTGACGCCAACCGGCATTCTCGTCGCGGGCGCTGTGTCGGGTGGCGGGTTAGAGGTGGTTGTGGATTTTTTGTATTGGTGCTAGCCGTTAGAAAAGCTTTGGTGGACTGTCTGACATACGCAGCGTAGCGATCGCCGGCTTTTTGCCGGATTATTAATATCAAAGCACGATGTGCTGTGCTGTTGCTGTTGCTGCTATGCTGTTGATGATGACTTTTGTCAATGCTGTATGTTGACCTATCCTTGCCTGTAGTCATGACATTGATATCTTGTGATGCACACAGTAGTTACTTTCTTTATTGTTTATAACTGGAAATGCGGTGTCATGTGAAAATTGATAGATATGCTACGTCGCTATGAATTGATTGCCAAAGCATTGCATTGCTATGATGAAGATGGCGAAGTTGGGGCACCAATATTTTTTTTTTTGCTAGGATCATTTATGCAATTACTATTTAACCCTCATATAATCAATGTAGTGCAATGACATTCTTGCTGTCGGTAGTCCTTCGGCATTGTTAAATCAGTTCCTACCAGCCATTCATAAATTCTAAGCTGCTGTCTCATAGGCTTGCCATAGAGAAGTCAACCACCGTGGTACATTTTGCCATGGCACGGGTCAACAGCGGCCTTGGGCACTAAATCAGTGTGTACTGTGGCATGACATAATGAGCAGTGATATGGTTTTTGTATTGCAATCCCTACTGCTTTATAATAATTTCATCGAAAAGATGGCTTAAGCGTGCACTCTTGTATTGACTACCCATCTGACATATGACTGACCAAAAACCTTGATACAACATAGAAATCACTTTCAGCAAAGCAAACAACCATAAGTGACAACACTTCCTCAGCCTGTTTTGGTAACCCACAAAACGTGGGTGACAAAGATGCAAACACGTCTTGCACTTTCACAGCCATGTAACATGTTGCAGCCATCAGGCTGCTTTACACAAAAATGGCAGGAAAATTTTGCATGTGGTGAAATGACACTGCAAACATGCTGAGACTGGAGAAATGATAGGTGCATGTACTTATGGTGGATGGGAAAAATGCAAGGAAGTTATGAAGTTGCCAGCGCACAAGCGGCTCATGATGAAATATTAAGTGCTATCCAAGGCGCCAACTGCAATACTTTACCACCTTTCTCACCACCCAGCACCTCATGCAAGTTACAGTGACTATGACATTGATGACTCACAAGCAATGCTTGCCTGCATACAAAATTTGTTAAGACAGTAGAATGTGCATCATTAATATTACAGCGTTATATTTACAGAGTTATTTGAAAGGACAATTTTGCAAAGCCGTATCACGTGAACCTATGCTGAGCATGTGCGTTAATGAGCTGCGCGCACTAGCCCCTACTGCCAAAATAAATTGCTGATATAATGGCATGCAATATATTAATTACATTGCAATGACAATATGCAATCACATAAATCAACAGGTTTAAAATATTGACAACATCATAATGACATGCCAAATTGTCTTTGTACACATCTGCAACACAAGTCCTAGTGTTTCTCTTAGCTTGCCGACATTACCTTGCCATGTTCAAACACAACCATTAAGGCAGAGGCAAATATTGATATATCACATTTCATTGGGTGTCAGTAGACTTAAATAATGCCACAGCAATGCTCTTACACTTGCACACTCGTAATTATAAAATTGCACGTTCCTCACAAGTTCCGCACAGAATTACGAATATAATACCGCATTTCGCCGTGAGCACCCTTCAAAACAATGTCCCAACGGGTGCCACGGTAATCCGGCTCAAGAGGTCGTACTTGTGGAGCACAATTTTTTGTTCAAGACGTAAAATTGTCGTACAGTGTGGTGTGAAATATTGAGCATAAGATGTATCTAAAATCACTGTAATGTTTCCATAATTTATTAATGCCGTGCTAACCCAGAAGCCCGTGCAAGGTTCTGTGATCCGGTACACAGAGCTGTCGTGCAACCGAGCTGTCTGTACGCAATGCGCCTGTAGAAGAAGAATAAAACGCCAGCAGGGAATCAAAGTCAGATTTGCCCTCGCGTCTTCTGTTTGATAATATTCGTGAGAATGCTCGTTTTCTGGGTGCCGAACTTTTTTCGGCAGACAGTGGTGTTCTTTTTTATAACACTGACCAAGGAAAAATGCCCCGTTCACGACGAGTGCCACACAACCCAAAAGTGCTCACTCTTGCGTTCGCGACACACATTCAGCAGCGAGATCTTGCTAGCAGCCAATCCTCTTCCGCGCATTGATCATACGTGCCGTATCATCGCTTTTGCGAATGTTTCAGTGGTCATGCTGTTTTGACCATAAGCAGAAAGCAGCCTGTAGTATAGCTGCGATCGCATGACGTTTCTACGACGTCATTAATGCCAAGGTGGCTAAAGTAGGCTCCCAATAAACCTTTTCACACTTTGGCGGGCTCAGGAACGGAGCGCTTTGGGTCTCAAAAGGACATGACCGTGAACTGTATCAAAACGTCCTCAAGATGGCTATTTCAGCTCAAAATCCCATACAAATTGGAACATTCCCTTTAAACTCAGGGATAAATATGTTAGCGCGCAACGATTATGTTTGGCCCGATGGCAAAACCCCGGAACGCGAGTACCCAAGATTTGGTTCAGCGCGCATCAGTAACGCCTGGCCACGTATTGGGTGATTGAAGAGCTACGAGTGAGTTTTGTCATATAAAAGTTTCATGACGAAAACAAACAAGTACGCACCGGTGTCGACTTGTACTCTTTTGGGTGAACCACTGCCTGTCCCGCAATGTCCAATCTGCTCCACCCCCCCCCCCCCCCTCTCCCCCAATGGTGAGTTTGGTCCCCCAACTTTCTGGAACTCCAGTACATGAAGGACGTTACAAATAGGAGCTCAAACTATGCAAAATCTAAAGAATGCTTCTGCTTATTCTGTCTCAGGCAAAATACTCATAAAAGAAAACAAAAACTGCTATACTTTGTCCAGTTGTGCACCTGCCTGAGTTAGTCACACTTTGAAAGCTCCGCGGTCGTACCGTGTTGACTCGAGTTTTGTGTTGTTTTTTTCTGCACACTGCATACCTTTAACCACGCGATTTATATTTATTGCTTACTATGGTCCAGTTTTGTGATATTGCGGGAGTGTTTTGACATTATTCAGTAATGTTTTGAGCCAAACAGACTGCAGCAAGTTGCGTTGTTGCGCTAGGACGTCTTATCGGAAAACAAAAACATAGCGGTAGAATACTTGCAGCCAAAAACATGGTCAAATTATTAGTCGTCTTAATTTGGAGAAATTCTTGACATGTGTCGACCTTCACTTCAACGTGAATATTTGGCAAAGCAATTGCCAAGACGTGACGATCGACGCCAACTGGCTAGGCTGGTAACGGTAATCGTCCGACTATGATTGCCAACACAGGCCATGTCGAGCGTGCCTAGCGGGGGTGGTGCGCCTGCACCCCGTCTTGCGGCAATCAGCCGGGATTTCCATGGCAGACGTCACTTGTCGCCCAAATCAACTTACAATCTTTGCTCCCAAGGAGTACATATCCAAAAACGTCTTAAGCCGCATACCATCAATTCTGTAACTATTACCGAGACCTGGTTTCAAAGATCGGGACCATACAAAATTATGATTCCAACAACAGCAACTTTTGCCGAGACAGGGCAAGCAAACGCATTAGATCGGGCTGGGCTTTCCTTTTCTGCAGGGGGAAGGACAAGACTCAAGTTCCATAGCGTCGTTGAGAGTGAAATGGGTCAAATCCGGGAACTACCCTGCTTTTTAGTGCATTTGGTGTTCGTTTTTTCCCCACTTGGCTTCACCAACCCTATTTTGCTTAACTTCATTCCTATGGTGAAGTCTTAGCGACCGTGACAAGATTCGTCACCAGATTGAACTTTAAGGTCAGATCTGGGACGTTGGCACATTTCCCAAGCAGGGACAGGGCCAAGTGTCGCGATTTACATTGTCTGCGGCCATTAAGTCAATGAGCGGCCACTGCTTGGTCAGGGGAGGCACCTAACAAGGGTCGGTATTGCCAAGGAACACCAGAGTGGGCCTGATACAGCGCTCGAGGACCCCGCAGAGGAGCCGAAGAGCCCCTCGGGACCGACGATCAAATGCCCGATTGAAAGGCATAAAGGCAGGAGGACCGGCCATGAACTGTCAGTCCAAAGCCAACTTGCACCGATCGGGTACACCCTGGGACAAGCGGGTCCCTACTTCGTTCGTAGACCACCAACGCCGAACAGTCGGCTCCGTGACGGTCTGAGCTCCGAGGGACCTTTTCCTAAGCAGGAACAAGGTGGGAACACACTATTTGCATCGGCCGGGACCACCGGTCGGGACCTGGGAGGCTTCGGCGCAGTGCAGAGGCGCCCGACCCTGCGGTGTAGCTTACCGGCTCCGAAATCGGCCTCAGGTTCGAGTCGACGGAGAAGACGCGGAAGCGGACCAGCTGGCCCGCCTTGTATATGTACTTGTCCGTCTGAAGGAAGTGATGCTCTTCAGGAACGTCGCTTAAACTGAAACGCGCGGCATTCGCCGGTATGAAATAATGGAGCTTGTATCTTGTATCGTAAGAGTACTGTATAGTGTGAGGCGCTATTCTGTGAATGTTTGAAGTGTTGTTACCAATATGGAAGTGGTTGCCAGCCTAACTGGATAAGATGCCGTTCAGTTTTTTTTCGTTGTTGTGTTGTGGGCAAGTATCCTTTTGATGGATGATTTAACACGCTCGGTTGGAATGCCAATTTGCCACTTCGAAGGTTGTTTTCCGGAATTACGCCCGAACGGAGCGGGGTAGCCGCACCAAATTTTTCATGATTGTAAAAAATTGAACAGCAAGTAGTCTGACACTCAAAATTTAGCTGTACCTCGTAAGGTCAATGACCTAAGGTGGATCAAAGCCAGGCCATGGATTCAGCGAAGACAAGCTGCTGGGCATCGTTTCATGTCATGGAACAGCGAAGTGTTAGACGAGGCCGTGCATCTCTGTGATAGTTGCCTAGGCAACAAAACAATTGCGTGAACAAATTTCATGGACATTAGGTCAGCATGGAAGTCAGACTTGGGACGAAACCAAGCTGTTTTATTACCCAGACCTTGCTGTATGGGATGGTTTGTGGTTCTCATTTTGAATTTATAGGTAAAGCCGCGTTACCACCTTTCATGACATTATTTAAAGTCAGAGTAGGTTATTGACCTAAACTGACGCAGGTTAGCGCTTTCTTAGGAACAGAATGACTATCGTAATCCTTGACGTTTATTGAAATGCAAAAATCAAAGCACTTTTGTGTGATTTTAGCCACCATGACATTTAAAATGTTACGCAAGATCATTGACCTTGAATGAATACCATTGACCGTTTTTTTAAACAGGTATCCAGGTTCACGGTGGTTGCATGGACGGTCTTATGGTACTTTGGATACCAATCTGGGTTTCGAACTTATCTGACCCGTGGGTCCAGACCTAGGAATGCAAATTTTGACACAAATGAGTGCACGTATTGGCCAACTCACCCAGTGAATTTGATATTTTAGCTCTTCTCTTTCTGATATTTCAGGAGGGTCAAATTAACCTCCACCCGAACGAAGGGCATTCAGCCGGCCACCCCGGCGCGTGTTAACATAATCATTTGAATCCGGTGCTTTAGCGCGAATGCGTCACATTTGTGAACCGGGTAACTTGACATCAGAGTATGGCTACCATGCAGACCTGTTGCACCTTCCACCCACCAGTCACACATAGAATGAACATGAAATACACATGATACACGATTATCCCTTGATCACTTCCTATTGACAGGTGGACTCGTTATGCATTGCTGCAAGCATTGTGGTGTTCTCCAGCCGTGAACTCTCCCGGCTGTACTGTCAGGACTTCTTTTCATACGAAGTGCTATATCTTCACCACATATATCGAAGGGGGTTCTGCATCTACACAAAAACTCTTCTTAGCAAAATGTCTTTGAAAGACATGATTCTTTCTCACTTATCTACACATAATTCCGCTTTACTTTTTTGCAAAACTCGCAGCAAATTTCAGTGGAAAGACACTTCATTTGACTTACTAGATACGGACGCGTAGACTTCCTGATATGGTGTAGTCCACGGCGGATGGGTAAGTCACTTCCAAACCCATCCAGGCGCTAGAAATTCTCTGATTTGGTAGCTGAATTGCAAAGCAGGTCTGTTTAGATCCACCTGAAATACGACATCGTATTAACGACTGTTTTAGTCACATATTTGCTGCGTGTTCCCTATTTTCCTCTTTGAGGTGCACGTGTATCTGAACCCCGCAGGGCGGATGGGGGCTTAACGAAGCCATGCTATCGCGAGGAGCCGCCGGTTTCGCTCCAAGACGCTGAGCCGACTGATGGGTGGCGTGGCCAGGAAGCGCGCTCATGGAGACAGATGGTGTGGCTGGCCTCGCCGTCACCGGATGGGTACATTCAGATCGGTCAGTGGTGACGATGTCAAGCACTTTGTCCACTCGCCGAGAGAGCGAGCAGCGACCGATGATCTCCGGTCGGGCTCGTACACTGCTGTGGTGTCATGTCCCCAGTTATAAGAAACAGGCATATGCACGCGAGGCATTCATTGCCAACACGCCGGCACTATCGAACCGGTCAATGACTGACTTTAAACGTTAGTAGATACCATGGGGGTGCAGATGCATGCCTGAAACTGAAAGCAGCCGCCCATCGTGGTAATCATAATGTCCGACGAGATCAATCAGCTCTTTGAATTGGTGGCCTCACATCACAGTTTAGCAGCTACCATGGGTTGTAATCCCTGTTATAACGTTTAGTGCTGTGTATGATTATGCTTTAGTAGTGCCAGTATAGGATTACAATCGCTGTCCAGCGTTAAGACGGTGGCAGAAAATTTACTAAACGCATTAATATACAGCTCGGTGTTGTGCCCGACACATATACATTAGGCCAGATGCCGCAAAGACAACAGCTGCACAGAAGCTTTTGTTAGCTGCCTTGGTTTTCAGTTTTATTGTTAGCCTGTGAGCATGCACCGTGTACCCAGAAATGTCATGTAATCAAGCAGACATTTTCAAAAAGCTTGAGTCGGCCACAACGGAGATCAATTCAAACGCCAGCTCAGACCACATAGTGAGTGGTAGCTTCGCACGTGGCCACGAGGTCCCTGGGCCGCCACACTCGGACTCGGTACTCACCCGCCACGCCCGACACCTGCTGGGTGTGCTGTGCGAACGTCGGGCTACTCTCACTTCTCCTGAACGTCAGCGTCAGGTTGCCGGTCTCGGGCACGTCGAACAGGGTCAGACACACCCGCTCAGGCGTGCCGGCGAAGAAGACATTGGGCGCTGTGAACAGGTACCGGCTGCAACAGCGGACCAACGCTACTGTCAAAGCTGGAACAGCTGGCCAGACTTCTGTTGACCTGAACGGGAGTGCTGATGCGTGTTAGCGCATGCTCATGTTAATCGAGCTGTCATCCATGTAATTTACATGAGACTCTGCAAATTTGACCACTTCGACCCGTTTTCGCGTTATTATGTTTTATGTAGTGTTCTATGTTATATTTTGCATCTGGTATTCTATATGCAATGTCACACCATTCTAAGGGCACCAATCATGCAAGCTGCATGTTTTTTATCGCATAATTACATAAACATGTGCTGTAAACACGTAGAGGTTTGGGAATGTTTCAAAAAGTGAGAGGCAGACATAGGGAATATTTCAGGAGCTTCTCTAGGAAGCACGCCCGATGACTGGGGGATGGGGATAGAGATGGGGGCTATTGCCTGCTCTTAACAGGCGCTTGGGTGGCCCTCCGAAGATTTTTCCAGAATGATTTCCGAACAGCGGGGCGTAACCAAGACAAATCCTGCATAGCTGTAGAAAATTGCATAGCGGATCATTTTATATACATATTTAGATGTACCCTTGTAAGGTCACTGACCTGTGGCAGGTCAAATCAGGTTCATGGTTTCAGCGAAGGCAATTTCTAGGGAATCCTTCAATCCGATCCAACAACGGCGTGTTAGACGAAGCCATACACATCTGAGATGCTTTCTTAGGCAACGCAACAGTTGAATGAGCAAATGACATTGACCTAAGGTCAGGTATGAGGGTCACACCAAGATCAAACCAGGCCTTGTTTTATTGCCCTAGGGTTTACTGCTTGGGATAGTTCATGGTGCTCATTTCGAGTATATTGATAGCAGTAACCGCACTTGTTAACACCTTTCTATGGGACTCTTATAGGCCAGAATAGGTCAGTGACCTAAAATGACCTTGGTCAACATTTGGTTTTAGGAACATCCTGCCTAGCTAATCTTTGCTGCTTAGTTCAAATGCAAAAACTCAAAGCAATATTGTATCATTTTGGTCACCATGACCTTCAAAGGTCATGCAACGTCACTGACTTTAAATGAGAATGTGAGCTATTGCTTAGAAACGGTTATCTACGTTCTGGGGGGGTACTTTGGAGACCAACCTAAAACTTGAACTTGTTTGACCTTTTTGACCCCAAGGTCGTGACCTAGGAAGCTAAACTTTGACTCAAGTGAGCTCACGTACAGGTCAACGCACCCTCTTAATTTTGTGTCTCTAGCCCTCTTAGTTTCGAGATCTCATGGGGTCAAATTGCCCCTCCCCCACTCGAGCGAAGAGTATCTAGCCGGCCACCCGGGCGCGTGTTGATTTACATAACAGAGTTGGGGAATACCTAAATGTAAAAGTTTCCATACTAGATATAAAGCTACAGCTTTTTCTCACTGGTGCACAAACTTGTCTATTCGACTCATGTATGACATTCGGCAAATAAGGCTTTCCAGCTTCCCGGGATTATTCTTTCATTTCAACATTGTTTTCCCTGGGCAGCCGAAATTCCACGAACGGGTAGGCTTTCTTGAAGATTTGATCCGAGCTCTTTTGAATGGATGGATTTCTGGGATCAGAGCTCACGATAAGCTGCGCTTGTTGTGTGAGCCCTTACCCCAACATTTGGTTCGCGCAATCCAGGCAAGGCCAGAATTTAGGGGCGAAAGTTTAACGTGCCGCAATGTTCGGCAATCGGCATTTTCGGTCATTGAGGAGGTATCTGCCTCACAGGCTGGTCAAAATTTCGAACTCGAATCGATAGCCCATAAAGCACAAGAGTTTTCATGCGCCTAAATTTCGCCGACTTTTTTAAACAGACACGATTTCTCGCAGCACTTTAGGCAGAAACAAATTCGGAAGCTTCAAATGCTAACTGTCAAAAACGGTATGACAGACACCATGCAACTTGTGCTTCTCCTGTAAAAAACTAAGTCTCGGAACGAAGGCCATTCCTCCTGTCATGTATTCCCTATCTGAGCCCTGCTCCCGTCCGCCGTCGGCAGCCGCTACCTTGGCCCGGCTGTGCCGCAGGACTGCCTGCGAACTGATCATATGGCTGTTTTGCAGCATGCTTATAGTTCAGCGTTATTATTTATACGTGTTTAAAACATATATTGGACACCAGCAATAGTACTTTCCCCAAATTATTTTCCTTTCCTCCACACTGCTGCAGAACCAAAACCTACGCGAAGCTGCCTGCCTTAGGCATAAATTGGTCCCACGAACGTCCAATCGTCCCTAATTCAACGTAGCCGGTTTGATCTGCTTTTGTATGTAGACAGGGACCTAGCCAGATATTTGCCAAGAGGGGGGGAGGGGGGCAGCGTTGGTGTGTTGGCTGCACAGGGATAACCGTAAGGGGGAGGGGCAAAGTCCCGCACGGTTATCTTTCCTCCCCAATAAAATCGCGGGATATAGCTGGCTTATTAACAAGGGATACGGATATCTTCCTTTTATCTTCATTTTCACCTCGGAACCAGAGCGGAAACAAGAAGCAGGAGCTACCGCCAGGTCAATTATGTTTGTATTTTGAAGCCAATAATAACTTGCCTAAGTCAGGCGATGGACGGCTGTATGGAATACATCACCGGCACTTCTAATCTACAGTGGCTCAGTGTCTTCTAAGCCAATAAAATGCAGCTCTGTCAAAATTTATCTGGGTTCCACAGACATATTAACCCGTGCCCGGGTGGCCGGTTGGATACTCTTCGCTCGAGTGAGGGGGGGGGGCAATTTAACCCCCAGCTAAAATCTCAGGGACTAAGAGGTCTAGAGACACTAACTTTACAAACTGTGTTGGCCTGTACGCAAGTTCACTTAGGGCAAATTTGGAAGATCATGTGAACTGCTTGACCTTTCAAAGGTCATGGTGACCAATGTAATAGAAGACTGCTTTGAGTTTTGCAATTGAATAAGCGACAAATATTATGCTAGGTAGTATGTTCCTAAAAAGGAAATATTGACCTGGGCCATTTTAGATCAGTGACCTATTATGACATCTAAGAAATCTATGGTAGATTGTCTAATACAGTTCCTGCCTTCAAAAAATTCGAAATGAGCACCAGAAACTATATCATAAAGGAAGCCCTGGAGTATACAACAGGCTGGTTTTTGACCTTCGTCTGACCTTCATACCCGACCCTAGGTCAATTAAATTTTGGCATTCAATTGTTATGTTGCCTAAGAAAGCATCTCAGAGATGCATGGCACCGTCAAACACTCGGTTGTTCCACCAGATTTCACATTCCCAAGAAATTAACTCTGTTGAATCCATGGCCTGACTTGGACCTGTCGTGGATCAGTGAACTTGCAAGGTACATCTATTTGTTGTTAGCATACGATCTGCTATTAAAATTTCTACAGCTTTGCAAAATTTGGCGCGGCCATGTCCCGCCGTTCGGACACCATTCCGGAGAAAACCCTCGCGGGGTCCATTTAAACCCCGCCCGGGCGCGTGTTAAGGAGCCTGCGAAGGCGGCTTCCAGATCGAAGTGTGTCAGTGATGTGAAGTCACATGGCCAAACCATGTGTGTCTGTAGATTTTTCACATTCAGTCAGAATCGATCAGTGATACAAATTATGTAACGTAGTTTTGAACACGCGCCGCTCGCAATATTTGCAGCAAAAGCCTGGACGCCAGGCGTTGCAGTCTCCATGGGCCGTGCCGCGTCGGTACAGTACCTAATATTGAGTCGTGGTCAACAGGTGAACGAAAACGATGACTCTTTTGAAAAGAAATACATTTCCACACTTTATAGATAACTCATACAAATTGTGTAACGTAGTTTTAAACAAGCGCAAGCAGATCTTACCAACAAAAACCTTGACCCGAGGCGTTACAGTCTCCTTAGGTCGCGCAGCGTTGGTCTAACGATAATGTTGAGCTGTGGGCTAACGGGTGGACAAAAATAATGACGCTTCTGAGAAAAGTACCTTTGAACGGTTCAGGATTTCAAATCTTGGATGTAGAAGGTAGTCTGGGCATAAAGTTTACCTGTACGATTTTGAGATTGATGATAAGAACGGATTGGTCATTACGGACACCGCGAAATGGTGTTGGAATGTGGTGGTGTAAATGAAAGAGTAATGTAGGAGCTTTGCTTTTCGTGCTGTTATGACTGTTTATCTGTCCAAAGGACAGATTCACGCGGTCCCGCTTCCTGGTGTTGCTTGCGGTGGCCAACGCTGTTCGACTTTAGAGACCACGTCATCTCTGTTCGTGCTCCCAACATTGCCCATATACTGGGGCGCCAACATTGAAACTTTTTCATGTGGTTTGTTTCACTTATGGATTCTGGAAAAGAATGGACAGTCTTAGGCAAACATGGGGTTTCCAAAGTTTAAAACCATGCTCATTTTTTAACACATTTCGGCCCATTCAAATCAACAATAATGGCACCCCCCATTCCCTTCCGCCGGACAAACGGCGCCTTGAGTAGAACACCAGGGGCATCTTACTGCTGCAGGCAAAGGGCTATATGAACGGCAGAATTCTCAACTGAATCTCGTCCAGCGCACGTGAACGGGATGTGCTTACGCATGGTCTTTATTTCTCTCTTTTTAAGTCTAGAGCCAGCTCGTAAAGCTTCAACCAGACTGACAGCCTTGTCCTCGCCGACTCGTATCCGGCTTCCCTTCTCCTCGCCGATTCGCATCCGGTTTCCCTTTGAACGAGAACCGAGCCACACGGAAATGGTAATAGTAGCTGAGGGAGATATACGGCGGGCACACCCGAAAGATGCGGCTCGGCTTTGGTCACGATTCAGGAGGAGCCAAACGATTGCAGTCCCTCTCTTATGCAAATGAATGTTTGATGGTAGCGTGACTCGAAGGCATGACGCGCTCTTCTTGGACTAGGAGACGGTCGATTTGCTCATTTGCCGCTCACTCGACCTCAGGCGTGACAACATGAGGAGACGCTGGTCATATAACATGGCCAAGACCAGTTCGGACCGTTCGGAATGCAGGGTTACGCCCGGCGGCAACTGGATCTATCCGTTGGTGTGCAACGCCTACGGGAGAGATCGAGACACTACCATTTGTCTCCTTATGTGGTGTATGCCAGGTCTTAAGGACCTTGTTGGCGGGACGTTCGTCATGGATAGAGGGTCCCGTCATCGATGTCATAAGTAAGGGCAACAAGGGACTAAGTCGTCCGACAGGCCGGTCAAGCCCAGTCTCCAGAGCGCGCCGGCCACGGGGACTGAAACGCGTAAACCCAGGTCATGCCGGGGGCTAGCTGTCTGCCAATGGACTCAACCGTCCCATCAGGTGCGCTGTCTGCCTCCAGGCCTCTGAGGGACGCGCCGCGGGGCGGTGCTTTGTAAAGCTTACTCCGGTAGGTGGGAGGCGAGGGCGCAGAAGCGCCGGAGGCGACGTCTTCGTGGGCGTGACCAAAGGAGTGGTGGGCCACCCCACCGTGCACAGGACACGAGGGAGCGTCGTCCAAATAGGGATCCGTCACACTGGAGACTGGCAAGGAGACGAGTTATCGTTCAGTTGTGGGAAACCTCAGGCCGGCCCAGTTGTCGCATCGGTATCGTAGTCAATATTTTTATCGGTGCCAGGCTGATAATAATACTGATTTGGGGTGTTTTAATAGGGCATGAATTTGGCTTCACCGGACGGCCGAAATACCTGAAATGAAATGTAATTTAGTTCGACAAGGACTAGCGCGGACGTGGCAATTACAATGGCAACAAGGTGCTGGAAAGGAGAGGGCAAGGAGGGCGGGGGGAGGGGGGCTCCTGCCCGTGCGCGAGCCAGGAACAAACGGGCTGACGGGGCGCCAATGTATGTGTATGCTTAGAGTGAATGTGGTGGGGCGTCGAAAACATAAAGTCTAAGTGGGATACCGTGGTTAACGGCGGACAGCCATGCACGGGGAGACAGCCGTTCATGGGGTCTGACCGCGCCAACTGTTCCGCCAATGCTCTGGTCATTCGCGTCATCTTAGCGCTGTAGCTCACGCGTGCGTGTTGATGTCGGGTGTACCTGAGTCAGAATGTGTCGAGTCCCCATCAAAGCCCCCCCCCCCCCAACAGGATCATTTGATCAAGTAACCATCCTCGATGTCCCTCGTCGAAATATCGTACGTCACTGCCACCGTGATGGCGGGGAAGAGGCTGTGCTCTTAACACTTAACACACACCCGGATAGCCGGTTGAATACCCTTCGCTCAGGTGAGGGTCAATTTTACCCCCGAGAACCCCAAAACTGAGAGAGCTAAACACATCCAACTCGCAGGATGGATTGTCATGTATGTGAACTCACTGGTGTCACAATTCGAGGTCCCTTGATTTGTCCTCAGGTCGCTTAATTTTGTAGTTGTAGAGTAAGTTGTCACCCAGCAAAACTTTTGCCACTGTACACATGTTTGTACAATTATACATGATATGGCCAATGGGCCCAATTATTAATACGTTCGGCGCTGAGAAGACGCCACGAAGCTGGCATTAACTTTTGTCGCCAACATGAGGGAACGGACTTCCCTCCATGTTGGGAGGATGATCGCCGCTCCGATCATTTTTTTCCAGTCAATGACCGCGGGGCCAAAGCTAAATTTTCAGAAATTTGTGCGCTTCGAACCACGCCTCTATTCCGGCCCCACGCACCCCCATGTCTCACGGCGGTACAGCGCAACACACATGAGGAGTTTTTAAGGAAATTCTTATTTACGAGAACGCCAGTTATAAAGCGTAATATTTCTAACTCGATGTTTATTCCAGAGATGTTTTTACGATCTCGTTTCTCCTACCAAAAATTGGTGACTCCGCCCTTGCGCATGACGTTACAATATCCGCCGAATCGAGTCACTCTGCGTGGGTGGATTTGAGGTGCGCACACTACGCTCGGCTTTGGGTGCCGTATGAGCTTTAGGGCACCTGAGCACCCCACAAATCATTTGAATTAGATGTTTAACGCATTTATCCCACAGATTCTTCCAACTCCGGAAACGCCACCGGCACCCCCTGCCTAACACCCAGTTTGTAACCAAGCGGAAATGGTACAAGTAGAACAGTATGCACCGCATACAAGACTGCTGATTAAGCCAAAATCCGCGGCCATTTTTCGTCAGATCCATTTGGAGGAATCCATGGGAATCTGCCGATGTCTTTCTCGCACACCGAACGGCCGCGCCTGGTGATGTCGGGCCTGAGGATCGGCTTTGGTCCTTCGTGTGCTGGCGAATGACTTCAAGAATCTGTATGCTCTTCACGCTATAAAACACACATCTAACCAAAAATCCCATGTCGGAGAGATGTCGTGCACGGCGCTGGGAAATACCGTGCAGTCCCGCGAGCGCCGCGGTCGCGTTTGCTGGACTCAATAGTCGTAATCGGATATTCGGAAGCTCGTTGAGCCCCCCCCCCCCCCCGCCGCCCCCTCCGACTGGAGAAGACGGTCCCCACCGAGGCCGTCTAGTTGGTATCAGCACTGGGGATGGGCAAGCACCAAACACCTGCACCACCGCCGACCGGTCTGTGGTGGAGCGCTGGTGCTGACCTGCTATTTGTTGGGCACCGTTTAATGGATCAGGTTCCAGTTACAATAGCGACATTAATACAAACCAGACCGCGAGCCGGGGACTTGGGGTCAACGAAATCGAGCTCTTATGGCTTAAGCGGACCGTCCAAGCCCAGCCAGTTAAACTTTTCATGAGCTCATAATCCTTGCAACTCTTGATCACAGCCGTTAGCAATAATTGGCACAATCACTGGAAATGCGTGGTGTAGCATCCCCAAGGCATTCAGCTGCTAGCTGTTTGATCAGGTAACATTGCTTGTATCATTCCGATGCCTGCACAAATTAACCCCTCGCAGCATTTTATCAGCGTGGTAAATGCACTATGATTTAGTTGCAGAACACGTGTGGAATTAAAGTGCACAATTCGACTCGACCAGGCGTCACACCGACACGAGACAAATAGTCTGACCCAGGAAAAGACGGACGAACGCATTGGCATGTCTCGTGCAAGCTGTCATGTACTGTCATGTCATGCATCGTGCTCCAACCGCGCACCCTCCACTTTGGGGGCGTTTTGATAAACCGATGTCAGATGGTGGCGACCGGAAAGGATGCAGGCGTGTAACCAATGGTTTGGGGTGCACGTATAAGCCAAGGTACACGCTACGAATTACGTATCGATTTCAAAATTGTCCAGCACAGGCACGCCAGTGATCGGCCAGAAAGGAAGCAATGTCAACTGTTTCCAAACATATCTCAACTAAAATTCATCGGCCTAAACTGAGAGCGGCTCGGCCACATAATTACGATTGCATTTGGGCCATATTATTGTGAATTGCATCAACCAAAAGGGTCGAGTCCGGGGAAGTTGCGGGAATCTTTCGGGAGAGTCCAGGAGAGACGCTTGAGGATGGAGTCTTCCAGCGAGTCCCGAGGAGGAAGGAGCGCGGAGAAGTGGTGATGACAGCCGGACGGCGACATCTGGCTTGGCGGACGACGGGACACCGGCAAAAGCATGCATGTGTGAGTCCACAGCCTATTGCCCCGATCCTTACCGGGCCATGGGCGGCTGGTGCTCCCAGATCACTTGACTCCTCCTTACCGGGCGGGCACGGGCCACGGCCACCTGTTCCCTCCCGTGTAGTTAAGGAGGGAGAGGCACTGGCCACGCGACCCTGCCGGACGGGCAATGTGTCTCGGTCCCACTCCCGTCATGCAGGAAGGGAGGAGGGTGGCGTGACGTGTCACGTGGTTTGTCTATGTCCTGGTGATTAAAAAAAAATACAGCTAGCGGTCTGCGTTTTAAATGCTTTATTGTGAAAGCGAGGCTGAAGTGATTCGGTCGGGGGGCAACAGGACAGTCTCGCCTGGCGTCGGTGGGCATGGTGACAAGAGGTGAAAAGTGCCTTTTCTGCCACCGAAAAAAATTGGAACTGTCTGAATTGCCACCTAGGGTCAAATCATTCACAAACCATTGCAACATATCTTTAAATCCGATAAACCACAACAAGCAAAGACAAATTAAATGCAGTGTGTCATAACCATGAAGTCGGACTGACTGACAAGTTAACATGATAAATTTAGATAAGGCTTAAACGTAGCTTTATTCAATGCTTAGAAAATGATACCCAAATTTATGTTAGTTTAACGAGGACTCACGCAGACGAGGCAATTATCGTGCAAAGACGCTGGATAAAGGCTGGGGGGGGGGGGGGGGACCGTGTACGAACCAATAAGCGGGCTGACGTGGGCGCCAGCGTATGTGTATGCGTGGAGTGAGCGTGGTGGGACGCCGAATGCATGGAGTCTGCATGGATACGTTAAGGCCGAAGGGGCTCCCGGGGTTGTTTCCAGCAGGCTCTTGCCAATGTAATTCGCCAGTTGCGTTGGGTCCTTGCCAGTTGCGTTGGGTCCTTGCCAGTTGGGCGTGTCATCAGTGCACTCTGTTCCGTTTTTACCCGCTTGAATATTGTCATAAGCAAAAAAGATGGAGGTGGGATGCTGCGGTTGAGGGCTCACAGCCATGCACGGAGAGCCAGCCGTTCATGGTGCCTGACCGGACCTAACATTCCGCCAATGAACCGGTCACCCGCTTCATCCTAGCTCTGTGGCTCACATGAGTGTGTGTTGATGTCGGGTGTACCGGAGCCACAACTTGCCGAGTCGTGCACTAATATCATCTGGCTCGTGTGTTGACCAATGGGCTCCTCGTTATAAATTCGCTCTTGTGAGGAGGCGTGACGGCAGCAGCCGGCGGCGCACAAACATCCAGCAGGGGCCCGGTATCAGCGCAGCGCAAGAGCACCCATCACAGAACGCCCCCCCCCCCCCCTACAAACACACCATTGTCGGCACCGAGGGGGAAAGAGAGACATAAAGGGCCCACTTACCGCTCGGCTGCCACCACGCCACACAGAAGAAGCAGCCAGACAGGTGTCATCGCTGCCCTGCTTCGACGACGGGAGGCCATCCAGTTGCCTGGCAGCGCCGCCGTCGCTTCGTCGTTACCTCGCCAGCCGGCAGGTGGCACTGGTCAAACCGGTGCGGGGATACACCGTCGTCCCGCGAGTCCAGGATTTGTGGCATCGCACTGCGACCGCCTGGCACGCGGCGCGCTGTGACATCGGTTCGGGGTGTTCAGTAGGATACACTGATGAGGACAACAGGAAAAACCGGGTGGTGTTTTTATCCATATTTCGAGGAACATCCCTGGCCTATGCCTTGAGACGAATTCCCAAAATTAGGACAAGCCCGCTGGGTCATGTTTGTTGCTGGGGGTGATATTGCTGGCCCGGCTCCACACACTGCCCCGATCACTCGACAAGCCAGCTGCTCAAAACATGTGTCATGCCTTCATTTTCAAAGAGGAATATTAAAGATACACAGAGGTAAAACAAAGGATAGCTCGCAAACGTTGTGGTGAAAATATTTATTGGGTTCAGCTGGAAACAAAGTTCACTGTCCCCGGAAAACTGCAGGAAGGAACGGAGTTCACTGCACCCGGAGTTCGTAGATGCAGAAACGTCGCAGCAGTGGTCATAAGTAGGAGACGTAATTGTGCCAACATGATGCTGTCACCGGTTGTCAGGACGTTTTATTGAAGCGTCTGAAATGCCAAACAACGCACAGAAAGCAACAGACATCCGGACAACAGCAATTGGTAGCTGAACATCTGTTCACTTCGACTTGGAAAGCAGGTGGATGACGATAACAGCTGTACGCCATAAGTGACTTGCCACAGCCGTTGTGTGCCCGTGGGCATGGTGTCGCGGGAGCTTCACCGTGAGATCATGGGATCAAGAGCGGATCAAGGACTTCATTATCGAAAATACCAAGCCTTAGTGTATTTCCCCCTGAAGCCCTCCCGCCCCCCCCCCCCCCCCCCCCCTCCACAAGAAGCCACCGTATTTAGGCCACTTTTCAGATTTTTGTTTGAATTAAGACGCCATGTACTGCCTGAATGGTTTCCTCAATTTAGCTCACTTTTGTATGTTGAACTTGTTTCAATAAAAAAGAGGCTTGAAACTATCAGAAGATACAATTCATCATGCATCTAGAGGCAAACAGAATTTAAATCAAGTAAGAATTAAATGACTGTATGAAGGAAACAGCGGGTCCATTTAATTTTACGATGACTTATTCGTGCCCTTCTATTAAACCATGTAACAGTCAGGGGCGTTAGTGGGTATTCGGATCCGTATTCAAACGTCTAATGTTCATAACGTCCATCGGTCAAAACGTCCAGAATCGCAGCATGCAGGGGTTACAACATCCAGAAACCACCTAAAGTCCCTGGATAAAGGAGGATCAGAAAGTCCAGGCGCGCAGCGTCCCGAACCGCAGCATCCAGGGCTCAAAACGTCCAGCGTTCGTAAAGTCCAGTGTTCCTGAGATACAGGGATTAGGAACTGTCCCACTTCCGCGCAACCCTTTACGTAATGGCTCGGATATTGCCCGATAGAGGGCTACCGTAGCCGATTTTGCTCGTCTCAGCCGACGAGTGACGTCATACTGTACAGCACTGCCCAGTGAAACTACTGTGCATGGATATGGACAGCGTTTCGTTTGAGCACGCAAACTTTGCCGCGTCAGCACGCCCTTGGCAGCAGGCACATTAAATAATCCAAAGCTTTGATCTCTGGCACCTGACATGACACGTGACATCAAGTGACATCCCTGGCGCGTAATGGCGGCAGGTTCTGCCCTTTAATTTGATTTCTCCACCATTTGAGGCGGAGGCAGGTTTTCTCTGATGCATGTCTCGGTTAAGATAACAGAGGCACGGCATCTTATCGTGTTGCAAACCGTGTTTTATCACGGGAGACACATGCAACCAAGAAGTAGAGCGCGAATGTGTCAGTTGATATCATGTGAGGCTTGCAAATATGTGGTTGGTGGTGATATCCCTTCTGCATGTATTTTGTCGTACGTACGTATATGTAAGTACCTACTCTCGCTGGCCTACACATTATGTTATTGCTGCATTTGGAATCGGCAATGATGTTTCGTGAAAAGGTGATCATTAATAAGTCGATAAATACAACCATGTGAGGCGAGAATGTTTGCTTCCTACCAAATTTGCTGGCTTCTTGTTTCATCTCGCACTTAGCCAGCCTCCGAAAAGTAACGCTGACGCGGCAAGTCATGATCTGTTTGGCGTCCGGTGCTCGACGACTACGGCGCTTGAGAAAGTCAAATTGGGAGACGTCCCAGCCCGACCAATTATGAATGTCATTAGAACATTTTCATTCATGCGCCGAACCTCACGCGCTTGACGACAGGCGGCTTGGCACGAATGAAAATATCGCGAATGATCAGCTGATCGGCCGCTGCAACCAATGTGGCCGTAACCGCGTAAGTCAGACTGCAGTGAACCAGGCTTCTCGCGTAGTGTAGTATCGCATAGTGTAGTGTGTATATATATATATATATATATATATATATATATATATATATATATATATATATAATAGATGTGCTGACAAAACTGTTTAATATGCACAGTTCGCTTCATTGTTTTGCTAAGCCTTTGGTAATGAAGGTACGCACAGCGTGTGCTCAAGGCAAGGGTAGTAGAGATGACATTGAGCGCTGCATACTGCAAATGTTCTTGAAACGGGAGGCGCGATGGAGTATGCAATAGGCGTTTAGCAGCGGGCCTCATGTAGCAGCACAGCGTGCGTACCTGAGCCGCTGCTGGGCACTTGTTTATTTGAAGGAAACATGCGTTTAGAGCCTGGGTGGGAACAGTTTAGAGGCAGCACGGCCCAGTACACACATGTCTCGTGCGAAAGAGGCGCCAGTAAAAACGACGCTTTTCGGAACTAAGAATTGGGTTTTACAGTCAGAAATATAGCACGGTATTTAATCATACCCACGCCAAATTGACATAAATGGAGCTTACGCATGGAGCTGAGTGGCAAATTAGGAAAGGAACGACGAGCTACGCTTTGAGGCGATGAGGCGTATGTTGTCAACCAACTTTGACGAATGGCGGATCCAGAGTGGTATGGGGTGCGAGGTGGGGGTGAATGGAACTTTGCTCCCCGTCCCTTAGGGCCAGGTGGCACCCAAATGTCATGGTGAGGGGCCGACGAAATCCTTATTTCAGGTCCACAAAGCCTTTATTTTCAACAGACTCCAGAATTTCACGGGCACCACAAGTGACTACAAACATTTATTTTCGGTAGGCACCGAAACCCGTTGACACCATAACCGGCCAAGAACCTTCATTCTCTAACGGCACCAAATTTCATGGATGCAGCAATGTTGTGTGTTGACGAAATCCTTGATTAGCCCTTTGGGCTAGAGGACACCAAAATGGTCAGTTTGGAACACCATAACTTTCGTTTTTTGGCATCATAACCTTTTTTAAAGAGGCCCCTTATCTAAGTGGATGATTAACATTTCCTAAAACTTGGTTTTAATCAGCGTCCAAAATCCATGGACACCACAATATCTATACCTTTCACCTTTGCAAAATTCTGGATCTGTCACTTCCACGAACGAGCACCAAAAAAATTAATTACCACGCATCACAGCTTTTATTTTCCAGAGGCACATAGTTCCTGAGGAATCACAAAGCGAGGGCAGGTCAGGAGGGGAAGGGCCAAAAGGTCATTTCCTTCCCCTATGGGCCCCATGATATGTTAATGCCCCAAAGGCTTACCAGATCTCATTTTAAAGGGGCAGCAATACCATCATTGCGGCACCACATAACCTGTATTTCTATGAGACACGAAATTGCAGGGGCACCACGACGCTCGTGCCGTGCCCTTGACGAAACGCTGTGTCGGCCCATTCGGCGAGGGAGTACCAAATCCTTCATTTCGGAGCAACACAGAGTCTTTATTTTCAAGAAGCACCCAATTCCAGAGAGTACTAGAAAGGGCCATGTCCTTTATTCTGGAAGAGCCATGAATTCCAGGGGCACAACTTTGTTGATATTCCGCGCTGAAAGAATCCTGGATCGGACCCTGGGGCAAGGAGGCACAAAAACCGTTCTTGCGGGGCAGTATCAGCTTGATTTTCAAGGGGTACTAAATCAAAACGAGCCATCAACAGAGACCAAAATCATAATTTTAGAGGGCACTAAAATCCAGCGGCATTACGATCGGTGTGCTTTTTACTTTGCAAAAATTATGAATCGGACCGTTCAGGGAAGGAGTCCCCTGTTCAGGGAAATAGGCGCCGAGAGCCTTCGTTGTCATTGGGGCTTCACGGAAAACTTAGCCGCTGAGGCTATATGGCGTCGCTTGCCTCTCACCCTGGTAGGAAGGGTGGGCACCACGAGGAATAGAACCTCGTATCTCTGGCTTCACAGACGCGCAGTTTTATCCAGGAGTCATCACAATGCCCGTGCCTCGCCGTTAACGCAATCCTGCATCGGTTCATTCGGCCAAGGAACACGTTTCTTTCGGACCACCACTCCATTTTTTTCCTTGCGGCACCAAATGCAAGTGGGCGATTGAAAGAACCATTGAAGAAGGTCCGAAACTCCCCTTCCAAGCGGCACCACAGCATAGGGTCATCACAATTTCCTTGCCTTACACTCTGACAAAATCCTGGTTCGGAACCTTGGATGAAAAGGCATGCTGAACCTTGTTTCCGGGGCATCATAACATTTCTTGAGTGAACCTATTTCAATCAGAACACTACAAACGGACGAAACATTTATTTTAAGGCGATGTAAAATTCCAGGGGCCTGTCACATGGGCCCCAAAGCTTTATTTTCGCGGGAAACCAAATTAAACACGACTCCCTCCCTCCCTACCTCTTAGACTCCGAGGTTCCCATGGATTCCGAGTGTCCTACTTTGGTCCCTTGGGGCTAAAGATCAATGGCCTGATTGAAGGGTCCGAAGGGCAGGCCAGAGATCGCATGGATGGATCACATCCCAAAGGCCGGACCCTGAAATGTCAGAGCAGATCCAACACTGATCGGAGGCTCCGTGCCACTGTGT